CTATGAATGTCTTTCAACGTAATTTCCTTTTCAAAGCTTCTCACGTATTGTTCTACTTCATATAATATTCCATCGGCTTTATTATTAAATTTCCTGTTACCCTTTCGTCGGTTCTACACGATATTATATCCAATGTTCAAATCAATTATTTAAAGACGTGTAAACCAACCTTTACCCAATTAATATTTTAACATATTTAAGAAAGTATTTGTGAGTTGATTTTTACGTAGAAATTGTAATATTCAAAGAGTTTTGATATCTGTTTAATGTTCATACAAATTCATTCTTTTTTTAACATTTTATTTCCTAAAATAATCATGATAAATGTTCCTTAATTATTGTCTCAGAACGAGGTCTGTAAATAGATCGTCATCAGTCTAAATTAGTTAATACTTTTTTAAATACATGATATTTAAAATTACGCACCAAAAATACATATAAAAATCCTATAAAAGCATAATCACTGTTCTAGTTAAATAAAAATTATATTTAGTTTTTTATAACTTAAACAAAAATATGCTATACATACATAATATATTATGCTTCATTACCGTTAAATACTATTAAGTAATATTTGACAAAAATCATAAACTCATAACTTCGCTTTTATTACATTGGTTAAACCATTTTTATTTTAAAACCAGGTAGACTCTATCAAATCTATGTACATATAAAAAACATGACTTTAAATAAGCGCACCTAGACTTAAGAGAATAGAATACATAGAGACTAATCATATTCGAAGCACATTCTAGACTGAAGTCTAGACCGAGCGTAGACCGTGTCGCCATAGTAACAAAACATATTTACTAGGTTAATGATTTTCGTTAACACGTATAAAATATTATCGTAAAATCTTGATATTTATATAAATGATATATTCACTATTGTTTCTTTATTTACCATAAAATATTGTCAAAGGTAATAAATATGGATAATGTATTGTGGTTTAGTTAATAATAATAATTCATATTGTATACATACTATTATAAGTACAATACATATAAGTCAGTGGTGGCCTAGTTGTTAAAGTCCCGCCTCTCATGCACGAGGACGCGGGCTCGATCCTGGCAAGTACCAATGTGATTTTTCCCATTCATATGTACTTTCTAAGAGTATTTAGACATCACTGATTAATGTGTTCCCAAAGAGGGTTGATGTCAGGCAGGCGGCCGGTCGTAAAAACATCTAGCCAAAACTATTCACAACATGTAAGGCAGACCCTGGCTAAAGCTGGGAAATTGCCAGGTAGAAGAAGATATACATACTATTGTTATATGTTAATTTTTGAAACTATAATTAATCTATCTATCTATTTGTCTGTTTCGAGTAAATTCAAGACGACTTTACCGATTTTGATGTTAATATTACCCACAGGTAGATAATGTCGTAAGGAGTAATTTAGATTACTTTTTAAATAATTAAAAAAAGAGTAAGTTTTAAATTTGTTTATGTATTTATTACTGTACCAACTCATTCTAAATTTTAATATATTTTTAATGAAATTGAGGTTTTTCAAATTAGAATCCTTGATAAATCGAAAAAAACTTTACAAAAATGATAACGACTATCTCAAAAAATATTTAATGTGAGAGCAAAGCCGCGGGCTATAGCTAGTTTTGGAACAAAATGCATTATTTTATGTACAAATTTAATTATTATATCATTCATCTCATCATATATGAAACAAGTAATATTTTAAATAATTAAACTTAAAAATCTAACGTTAAAATTAAATGTATACACATTTAAGTACAAATGCTTATGTATTACATAATATGTGTGGTCGTAAATAGTAACCTCTTTCGACGCTCTGATAATTAAGATATAACATTTCGTATGTTGAAATATATATGTAATTTGTAATGTTTCAAAACTATAAACTATATAAATGAATTGCTGTTCGTTCATTCATCCTATCTTAGTCTTGAAATATTCGTGGAGGTTCAGGGAAGGTATAAAAGCTAAAAACCCTAAAAACGCCTATATATATATATATATATATATATATAGATTTGATGTTTTGCATGTTTTGATTGATAAGACGATAAATATTTTAACAAGTGTTTTATTGTCTCCTTACAAATTAATATTCCTACTTTAAATACTATATAATTTAAAATGATTTTTATGAAATAATTTATATACACACACACACGCACACACATACACATATTTCATTCATAAATCTCTACATAAAATACTAAAGTGAATGTAAAACGTAATACTTTGTGTTTAATAGTTAGACTAACGAACTCGTCTTAAGGATTACCTAACAAAGTAATTCGTAACAATTAATGTAATACACATCTTATTAAAACAGTTTCTTTGATTGTGTAAATATATTTTTTGCAAAAAAACTCCTAATTTCGACTAACTTAGCAACAAAATAATTGAGAATTCTATAGAAAAATTGCTATAATATAAACAATTAAGCGTTAAAAATATTTCAAAGAAACATATATAGATAAAATCTTTACTTTTTTCCGTAATTTTCTTCCATAATTAATGATATGCAGAAAAAACTGTCTCTTGCCGGTTGATAAAACAAAGCAATTTAAACAATCAAATCTTAATTAAACCGTTATTCCAGTAATATGATTCTAATATATTATCGTTTATCACGCACGAACACGGTTTAAATTTAACTGACAAAGTTAACTGTCCGGTAAACGATAGAATATAACCGGGGTCGTTGAACCCGTTGTATAAATTATGCAAATTGTGCAGTGTGCGGCGTTATTGGTTTAAATTAATATGTATAATGATTTCGTATTGAGTTTGTTAAAAACTAGCTGTCGCCCGCGACTCTGTCTAAAAATACAAACAAAAGAAATATAATGAGGAAATTTTTAAAAGTCACATCATGCCCTCTTCCCATTCAAGCGTGATAACATTTAACTTCGTTATCTATATGAAAAAGTAGCCTAAGTTACTCCTTATTACATTAGCTACCTGCCAATAAAAGTCCCATCAAAATCGGTCCAGTCATTACAGAGATTAGCAGGAACAAACAGACAGACAGACATACATATATCTAGTAAAAAACGGTTATTTCAATATTTATATGTATAGAAAAAAAATCATTTTTTTATTAAGAATAAAATTTAAAAAATATAAAAACTCCGTTTAGAATTTTATAATTAATAATTTTGTCAATAGGTATTTATTTATTTTAAATATAAATATAATATAACACAGTAAAAAAAAAACAAATTATATTAGATAAAAATAACTCGTATGTACCGTAGCATTAACAAACGAGCCAATTTATACAGCCCACGTCTAGACTAAAAAGGATATATTTAACAAAGGAGGTAATAATACTTATTGTTATATAATAACACAAATTACACTTTGATTACAAAAAGTACATTTATATGTGGATTATAGAAAAAATATGTATTGATTGAGCTATTACATCTTTTATGTTCAATACATAAATGTTATGATTGCTCACTCAGGTATTGATTTTGTAATCGTATTTTTAGGTCATATTTAAAATATACATTATTATGTATATATTTTTAATACAACTCCAGCCATTCTCTCAAGTTTCGTTTTATATATAATATGTATAACTAGCTTTCAGCCCGCAGCTTCGCCCGCGTGGAGTTCGGTTATATCGCGTTTCCAAGAGAACCTTTCAAAAGTCCGGGATAAAAACTATCCTATGTTCTTTCTCAAGGTCAACTCTATCTCCGTACCATATTTTATTAAAATCAGCTCAGTGGTTTAGTCGTGAAAGCGTAACAGACAGAAAGACAGACATACAGAGTTACAATCACATTTATAATATTGGTAGGGATTTTTCATCTCCTCTGCCCGTGATCACGATTGCTGAAAAGTAACCGAAACGTCGGAAGTATATACGTAAATGAAATAAAATAAAAAAAAAACCCTAGTAAATCCAATAAAATTAGTTTAATTTCAATGTATACTCGTAAAAGTCTTAGATTTTATTATATAATATAAGACCACTTCAATATATGCATATTATGGATTCTACGAATATGGCCACTCTTGACTGTTCGGTATTCGTCCGAATAGTTCGCAGTATTCAGCCGAATATCAAATAGCAAAACATGAAAAAGTCCCAAAAATACTCAAAAAGCCACATAGCCTTCATATAGAAGTTAATTTATTAACATTTCCACTTTTCGGTTCCAACTCTTCATCTGTATTATATTTTCTTCAGCCATTTCCTCAGAACAACTGCTATAAGCTTGTTATAACACGACTCCATTGACTGTTGACAAATATTATACACATAGTCCGACAAACATTTTGCAGTGCAGTGTCGAACTATCGAATTCGTCGGATTATAGAGTACTGCCTAAAACCCTATAGTCCGGATTTTTTTACAAAAGAGTACCTTGTAATCCGACAAATTACAGATTCAATGATAAGATTATTTACATAATATACTTATAATATGTATGTACTCTGAAGTACAAATTCAAATTCCAACTAAGCAATCAGAATCAAAACAATATACGCGTCGAGCACAATAGCGATGATGCGTACAAGTTGTAATTGGTTCAATCATGCATTAGCGAATACAAAATATGTATTCAATAATAAATAATAGATCATGTCGGATTAGACAGGGGCCGGATTACCGGGTCCATTGTATATATAAGAATAATATTATCGCTCTCTAATCAAGAAATATCTGTTAATTTTTTATTTATATTTTTGGAGTTTACCTATTAAAGCTATAAATCTCCACGTTTTGAAGTGCGACAGAATGATTGACATATTAGTTAATTGTCAAATCTAAAGTAAAAAAAAACGTTTGTATCAACAACTAATTAATAAATTAAAAATTAATTAAAAAAACATTGTACAGCGGACAAAATTGTGAATCTAAACCATTCCCAGATCCCGTTGTACACACACAAAAAATTTCATCAAAGTCCAGTCGTTTGAGAGGAGTTCAGTGACATACACACTCACAGAAGAATTATATATAAAGATATATGTGATATTATTTCCAGCGTTACATAGGTCTGCCAAGTATGTTGAAGGCGGGTGAGTTCTCCCCCAACAACCCTCTCATCAGGGAGGAGTGGTCGGGGGGTGACGTGCTTCGGTCTCTGGGAGAGTACGAACGAAGGAGAAACACCCTCAGGAGAATTAGGCAGATACAGTACAAGGAGTACCTCGACCAGGTAGGGTGTATTACTGATAATGCTGCCCAAAATCTGGCTTGGTCTTGGTCTTGCATTTAAGCAAGAACAAGACCAAGACCAAAACTTGCGTCTTGCAGTTAGGACTGAGATTAGTTTTAGGGAGTATGTGTAGGAGTTCGGAGTATGTATACTCTTAGAGATTCTATGAGATGCGAAAAATTTATGATTTTTTCTTTTTGGAAAAATGTACATACTTAGGTATGCGAATTACGAATGCATATATTTTGTTTGAACAAAATTTTTATATTAAGTCGTTCATGAGGTACTAAAAACTAAGTAACAGTATACATAAAGAAACTAAACATAGAATATAGATAGTTTGAATTTTCATTCGAATATCTTAATATGACGTAAACTTTAAAATTGTCCTTATTTAGTTTGGCGATATGAACTCATGGTTACCCTACTTATACTCAAAATAATAAATTTCCAGCAAGCAAAGAAGAAACAAGAAGCTAAAGAAGAAGCGGAAAGAAAACAGAAGGAGAGAGAAGAGAGAGAGAGACTTAAAGAAGAGAAGGAGAGAGAGAGGGATCAAGAGAGAATAGACTTCAGAGATAATAGTCCAGTTATAAGGAGACGTAGTGTGAGCGTTGTGACGAACGAACATTATGTTAAGTGAGTATTATATATGTATAAATACTAGCTGCGCCCCGCGGTGTTACCCGCGGATTTCCTATATGTAAAGTAGCCTATGTGTTATTCCTGGACGGCAGCTTCCCGTATACAAGATTTTATCAAAATCGGTTCAGCCATCTGAGCGTGAAGAAGTAACAAACATACACACAAGCTCACAAACTTTCGCAATTATAATATTAGTAGGATATATATATTTATACATTTTGTTCAATTTTTTTTCTGTCCAAAAGTTCTGCCTAATCTCTTGTATGACTGGGCCGATTTTAACCTGATATTCACTAGCAGTAGTTAATATTATAATGAACTAACTAAGGCGTTTAAGATATAGATCAATAAAATAAGTATGTATATAATTTTAGGCGAATGAAGTCGCGGGCTCATCAGATGCTATAAAATATCTTTTTTTTTTTTTCAATAATAGTTAATAACAAGCGGTAAAACAAAAATTATTTCTTTTTTTATTAAAATACAGTATCATTATAATTTTAATATATATTATATTACGTGTTTTCCAGGAAGGTTGATACAGGAGTACAAGTTGATAAAGCGAGTAGCCCGCTGTCTGTGGCTGTACAGACAGACGAACGGGATACTGTAAGTATATATATACTAGCTTTCCGCCCGCAGCTTCGCCCGCGCGGAGTTCGGTTATATCACGTTTCCAACAGAACCTTCAAAAATATTGGATAAAAACTATCCTATGTTCTTTCTCAAGGTTAACACAATCTCTGTACCAAATTTCATTAAAATCAGTTCAGTGGTATAGGCGTGAAAGCGTATTTTTCATTGTTTACCCCCCGCAACCCTATTTGTGGGTGGAATTTCGTAAAATCCGTTCTTAGCTGACCTCTACTCGGCGAATGTAATAATCCTACCAAATTTCAAGTCGCTACGCCTTATGGTTCCAGAGATATCGTGATGAGTCAATATATAGGTGGAAATTTCTTTTATATATAGATAGAGCGCTTATAAAATCGCATATAAAATCCCACAAGAGATTCAATAGAACAACATAAAAATATGTTGTTAATAAATTCATTAATTAATCAATAATAAATTTATCTATTATATAATATAGCTCACAATTCAAGAGAATGTAAAGTAAAAATATAATTAAAAAAATCTTTTCATCCATATATTTGAAAATTAATTTAAAATTGTGAAATATTAATTATTATTAATATATCAGTTTCTAGGAACATTAACACAAGCTGAGAGGGAGTTGTCTCCAAGATGTGTGGACCGATATGACAGAAGAAGAAGCTATGGAGACTGTGATGGTAATACTATTGTATATAAGATAATAATTATTATAAAGGAAAATATATATAACTCTTAATATTATATATATCAATTTGGTAATGATAAAAGTTTACTATGAAATTTCCTCAAAATCATTATAATATTTTTTATTTTTATGTAAACTTTTTTAAATAAAATAATTATAAATGTATTCCTACAGATTATTCTTTTATTATGAACAGCGCCATCCATTGACGGCAATTTTAGAATAAATAACATCAATTGAAACATTAACAATATGTTTACAGATATAAACAATTAATTTTCCATTATTTTCTTTAAATATATAAATAAAATTAAGTACATACACTAATGTAGAAAAATATTTTGACAAAATTATATTCTTCTATATATAATAAGAATTGTATATAAATATATATTATTAATATTAATACATATATAATATTATAGATCGCGCTCGTGTGACTTCCGTGTTTGATGAAGATATGGTCAGAATGAGAAATATGCGAGCAGAGCAGGTATTACAGAATACTACTTACTGACAGTTTGGAGTTACACTAGTAACGATATATATGATAGTATTTATATAGAGGTGCTAATGATATATAACAAATGTGGCAAAACCTTATATTCTTAATGATAATGTAAAAAAGGTATTTGAAGTTAAATAATGAAGAATTCCTCTATATATCATTCCTAGAACCAACATTTATTATCTCACAGCTGTAAAATCTAATATATACTGAATTCGTATAATAAGAAAGCTATAAATATAGTTCTATTATCAGAAATACTTACATTTACCAAACATATAAGTGAATCCTAAAAAAAACATATAAATCCTAAAATTTTCTTTAGTAGTTTCACATACATATATGAGTGTGTGTTTGTGTGTGCACACATATATTGAATACCGTTTTTACTAGTGATGTGCTAAATATATACTATACATCACTAGCTATCCGATTTAAAACTAATATTTGTTCATAACATAATCGTTTTAATTTCAGGAAGCATTAGAGCGACGTCGTTATTATCAAAAGGAATTACAAAACCAAATAATTGAACAACAGAGATTGAGAGACGAAAGAAAAAATAGGGAGAAGTATGTTATTAAATATAATAATATTATTATACTTGTATATATAATACATATATAGATTAAATGTGTGTATTGGTTGGTCTTTGAAACTACTGAACTGATTCTGATGAAACTTTTCTATAATATAAGTTTAGACATAAAAAGAACTCAAGTGATAGAGAAAAAAGTTGGATATCGTCGGGGATAGTGCAATATGTGTAACTATCTTTAGTAATTTTTCATTATTTGTTAAAAAAAATAAGTAGTTAATATAGAAAATATTTAAGCTCTAATTTCTTCTGATAATCTGCTTTCTATGTAGATACGTGGAATTATCCAATGGTTTTGGATTTGCACTATCAGTGACTATATGCTTTTATATTATAAAAATATATTTATAAAACATGAAATTTCATTATCAATAATCGCCATTATAATGAAATAGGGATATATTATTAAAAATTAATATTGTATTCCAGAATGTTAGAAATGGCTGAGATGCGTCGTCTTGAAGAACAGTTGAGGTCTTTAAAGATGGCTCAAGATAGAGACAAACGGACACACAGAGAGAGACATGCCGCTGTTAGTAAACGAATAAATATTTATTTAGTGTTTAATTTATTAGTAATTATGAAAAAACTAACTTAAAAGTCGTTAATATATAAAATATTTCAGCTTAAACTTTCATCTGATATAATCTGCTTTTAATATAGATATGAGGAATTATCCAATGGTAGTTACAAGGATTTGCACTGTACACAAAGACATATAACATTACTGATTATTATTATTTAATTTAACATCACTAGTCATTAACAATTGACAATTAGAAACGAAAGCTCATAGCGGCTGCACTTAACACTGCATTAAAAGATGATTAATGAACTCATAATAGGCACTAAAGACAATCGGACTGATTCCTAACTTAAGACGAATATATTAAATAATATTTTGAATATATACTTCTTCAACCATAACTATTTTAAAAGGTTTATTTTAGTATGATATAAATATCATGATATTTAACAACTTTATTCAACGTTTTCATTATAAAAAACTTATAAAATCGTTACAGATGCTTGACCACGCTTTGGAATACGAAAAGAAGAGATCGGATCTTCAAAAGGATATTGATTATCAAAATAATATGTTGAAAATACACACAGAACATAAACGACAAGAATCACCTAAAATGACATATTACAAAGAAGATAAACCATACTCAACAAATATACCCGATAGTTCAATATTCTCAGAAAATTACGACGTCGAGAATTACTTGAGAAGAAACTTAAATCCTTACAAAGATATTAAAAAAGATAAAAACATAGAAAGCCGTATTAAAGATAGGAACGTAGTGATGGAAAAATCGGTAGAAACCAAAGATAAAACCGATAAATTCGACAGCCTTATACCGGTTTTGAGACATTCACCGAAAATTACAAATGATACGGAAAGGGATTTAAATATCAGTGAGAAAATGAAAATAGTTGACGATAAATGGCAAGTACCGGTTGTACAGAAAAATATATTGAAATCTGTAAACGATAAAGGAAAAAACATTAGCATATTGACACAACTTGGGTCTATAAGAAAACAGTTACAGTTAGAACAAATGAGACTCGATAAATTAACAAAGGAATAATTAATAAGCAATTTCCTTAAATATATTCATTAAATATTAGTCAATTCGCATGCGCTATGGCGTCCATTATAAACTATTGAATTTAACATTCAACGCTTTAAATATATAATATAATTCATAAAATTGTGATATTATGATATATAAGTATTGTTTGTATAATTTAAAATTTTTAATTATGTGAAAGAATTGTTGTATTTAATTTTTTTTATAAGCTACGTTTAGGTATAAGTATTTTTAAGATTTAAGTTGCATGTTCGAATGAATAATTGTTCGTAATTATGCGAATGATTTTTAATATTCTTAAGCAATTAATGAGCCTAATATTTCTACAAGAAAGGTGATACAAACCATTTTGATTAAAAAACGGTATTTTGATAATCCCTTTCTTGTAACCAATCTATATTATATTTTATTTATATAATAATATGCGAATTCTGAAAAAATTTTAACCAAACTCTTAAGCCATATACTTAAAAACATTTATTACCAATAATAGTGAATTAATTAGTATTTTTCATCCCTAGTGTAGTGCCAAAACTACTATCAGTTATAAACTTCCCAATAATTCCAATCAAATTTTGTAGTACGATTTTAAATAGCAATTTTAACTGTTATTCCGTATTTAAACTATTCTGTAGTAGTACCTTGAATAGAATACGTAGTATAATTGATATAATCACTAGTTGTTATAAATATTGTTTTAATTTAAGTGCAATATATTTGTTGTAAGTTGCATTTTGTTTTCCGCTGTATCTATTGAAAGACTGTGAGGTAATGTAAACGAGCTTGGTAAATGAAAAGAAGATATTTTTGTAAGGGCCATTTATTATTTACACGCTTTTTATAACGCCAAATAAATAGTACAGCACGTTATATGCATGTATACAATGTTTTTAATTCAATAAATTATCTTTTATTAGCATTTTATTGTTATTTTATTTGGTACGACCAATACAAAGCTCTGTATCCCCAAATATATATCGTCACATATTTTGACGTTTATGACATTTCGTAAAAAGGGTCAATATGAAATATATAAAAAAGGAGCCTTAAATTAACATTATAATATAATTAAGGATTAAAATAATTTCAAAGGTTAATTATTATTTATTTATAGGTAACCAAAATTTATAAAATAAAAAAATAGATATGATTAATCAAAAACTTTTAATGGGAACCATTACTAAAAATACAAAAACAAATCAACAAAAAATTAAGTTAACACAAATGAATATATCCACATATTCTGTGATAATATTAAAATGTTCTCATCAAAATATATAATAGTACTTTGAGAGATTACATTGTAAATAAAACTAAAAATAAATACATACATAGATAATGAATAATTATTGGAAGTATCCAAATAAATTAAAATGGACTTTTCATTCATTTTCAAGACTTTTTATATTTATGAGAATATTTATAAAAAAATTTGTACAAACCCTGATAAAAGTCTACATAACAAACCGTATATTAGATGGAAATGGTTTTAAAATACAGCAAAGTTTATTATATAGACAAAATACCAGAGAAATAATTTTATAAAACTATAGAATAATAAATATATTAATAATTAACTATGTCTTAGAAATTGTTCGAGCGGTGGTCCATGTCTGCCGAGTGGGTCCTTTGGGAACATAATCATATCTCCGACCCATGTGAATTGTAGAAGTCTGTTTTCTATAACAAACCTCCATCTTGGATTCTCTTGAAGTAAATCTCTATAGTTATCACCGGACACTATGACACCATCAAACTCGGCCGCACACTGAACAATGTATCTGAAAAATATTATTACAAAGATTTTAACATTATATGTATACATACTAATATTATAAATGCGAAAGTAACTCTGTCTGTTTGTTACGATTTCACGCTTAAGCCACTGAACTGATTTTAATGAAATTTCATACAGAGATAGAGTTGACCTTGAGAAAGAAGATAGGATAGTTTTTATCCCAGACTTTTGAAAAGTTCCCTTGGAAACGCGATATAACCGAACTCCACGCGGGCGAAGCTGCGGGCGATGAGCTAGTATAACATATATTTCAAGTATTTGATAATGAATTAGAACAGAATTTATTTCCAATATACATTTCAGAGATCTTGATGAAATTTGTTTAGCTACATTAAGGTGGCACTACACTAGGCGTTTATTTGTTGTGTTCGACCAAATAAGCGACCTCGTGTGGAGGAATTATTCGTCTTCTTCTTCTACCTCGCAATTTCCCAGCTTTAGCCAGGATCTGCCTTACATGTTGTGAATAGTTTTGGTTAATTGTTTTTACGACTTGCCGCCTGCCTGACATCAACCCTCTTTGGGAATTAATTTGTTCGTTTTCATTTGACATATTTGCACAAATAAGACACATACACAAATAAACCAAATCATTAGTATCGTTAGCATGCCAAGTGTGGATGTCGTGTTTGCAATATTTGGACTATCTACAAATATTTGGACAAATGCGATGAATACGCAACACCAAGTGAAGTGCCACCTTTAGGCCAAGTACATAATTAGACATACAAATATGTATAATACAATTAAATCAACATTTTTAATTCAATTTGAAAATAAAAAATTAGGTCAAACATGTGACAACTAATAATAAAAATTGACATAATGAAGAAAACAAAACAATTAATGAAATTTCATTTAAAATAATAATAAGGTTGAATTACATAGTTAAATAAAGATACATATATCATCTTGTATATTTAAAGTGAGAAAAAGATAAATTCAATATATCTTTGAAAGATAAATTAAAATGGTATATTAAATTTATTTTCTAACCTGTCGTCGTATGAAGTTATTAATTTTCCTTGTACTTCCCTCGATGGTGTGTACACAACCAATTGTTGACGTTCAAGTTCATCTAATAATCTCGGATCAGTGCTTTTACCATATTTACATCTGTAAAGAAATGTTTAAAACTTTATTATCTGTATATAGGAATAGTATTTATAATTATTAAATTAATATATTGGTTAAAAAGAGTAAATTACCTAAAGTGTGGTACAAAAGCCTTTACAACATGACCTCGTTTAACAAAATAATCGATACAAATTTTAAGGCCTCTGACTGAGAATGATCTTCCTTTAGTGTGCCTGAGAAATTTAATATAGTAATTAATTACTAAAACTACCAAAAATTAAAAATAAATTCATTTACTTAATAATGTCTTCTAAATGGAGGAAATTGTACATTTAAATATATGTATTTTTTAAGCTTGATGCAAGAAATAGGTGTTTTTAGTTTAATCTTGATGTACATGTATGTGTGTGTGCAGTAATGAAACAGTATCAGTTTAGCATACAACTAGTCAACAATGGACCCCAAAACTGACGGTAAAATCTTTAAATACTTCATATCAACAAACTTTATAACAATGTAATTGCATATAGTTTTATTATATGTTAAGGTAAATAAACAATTACACTGTCCCTACTTATAAATGCGAAAGTAACTCTGTCTGTCTGTCTATGACGCTTTCACGCCTAAACCACTGAACTGATTTTAATGAAATTAGGTACAGACATAGAGTTGACCTTGAAAAAGAACATAGGATAGTTTTTATCAGAGACTTTTGAAAGGTTCTCTTGGAAATGTGATATAACCGAACTCCACGAGGGCGAAGCTGCGGGCGGAAAACTAGTTATATATAATTATTTACTTACTGCATGGCAACATTACTTCCATCGATCACTATCATCCTTAATCCGTTTCTATTCCTTATATCTCGCTCGGGATTGTATATATTACTGCCGATGCTATTTCGTGAAGATGACTTGCCGACAATCACTTCTTTTATGTACACACTCTCATCGGTCTCCTTAGTTTGTTTTAATTCTCGCTGACAATCAATTTGTGGGTGAAATTACTTGTATAATACATTTAAAATAAAAATATATATATTACCTTGAACATATTCAAACTTTTGGTACTGCAAGGACTTTTACATCCGTTGAATATCTTCTGAGCAATAATCTCTAATAGCCGACCCTTTTCTGATGAATTCATTTTCGATATACCGTTAACAAACTTCTTCATTTCTTTATTCTTATTCGTTTGTTTCATATTTACAACAGTTACATCTGAGTCTCCACTCATAGATACACTATCGTTGGATGTTGTAGTTTGTTTACTATTATCTAAATCTATGACGGTATTCCCAAACTGACTGGAACCATTTAAACTATCAGTTGTAAGATCTATAGTTAAATAAGAATCTCTATTAATTTCCTTTGTTAAATTTATGACTTCTTCTTGATAGCTTATATTGGAGTTATTGGCGTTTTCGTTTATTCTGCTGGTATTTGGAGTTGAGCATTCTATTGGGCACATATCGTCATCGTCACCGATTACTATCAGACTTTCTTCGAGTTTATTTGTATCTTGCTCTTGGAGTCTAGAACACTCAAGGTCTACTTCAATGACTGTGCCGTTCAGTGAATTTGTTTCGTTGCGAAGTTTTTCAAACAGTTTCTGGATACTCCTTTTCTTTTTCTTCATCGATGTCCTTTGGCTTTTTTTATTTATTTTATTAAAATTTACCATCGCATTCGGATTCAATATCTGAAAAGTTTTGACTGTGACTTATTCGTGAAGATATTTTTAATGTCAGACGAAAACTTTAAAATTTGAATGTACCAGTTCAGGGACATTTCTATTCAAACACAATTCCTCATCAATTAACCAAACAAAATATAAATACTAATTAAATATGACTTTAGATTATAAAATCATACTTTTTGATTTACAAAAAATAATTACAACAACCGCAAATAAAAAAATACACTAAGCTTACAGAGAGATTTCTGGGTTTATTTTTTCTACCCATGTTTATCACAGTTTTTTTTTGAAATATCAACTTTAACACACGTCCAAGATTTAAAGCCAATAAAACAAAGAAGTTTTCAAATGATGATCTACAAATATAAAAACACGATTCTTTTGATATAAAAATTTTGTAGTGATAATCTGTCAGTTGTCATCACAAAAATTGTGATTTTAAGATTACTATATACAAAAACTAAGAGTATAAAAATGAAAAACACTAATTTTGATTTGATATGCAATGAAATTATTTTATTAATTCTTTAAGTTTAATATATTTATAAAAATGTTACAAGGCATCCTTTATTTATAGCTATTTTATTGTTAATTTTAAAAGAGTGTTCACTACTAAAAAAAAGGTTATTGAAGTTCACATTAAAACTTTTTGTTATTTAATAGCTAACGTGGTTGTTTGGTCAAGAAATTGCTTAAGAGATTTTAATTCTCGGATTTTGAAGAATAAATAGAGTCAATAATGGTTTGGAAAAAGAATATACAAACATTTTTAAATATAATGAGTTTTATCTTCACGATTATAGTCAGTCAGTGTCAGTGGTGGCCTAGTGGTTAAAGGGCCCGCCTCTCGTTGCCGATAGCGCGGGTTCGATCCTGGCCCGGGCAAGTACCAATGTGATTTTTCCGAGTCACATGTACTTTCTAAGACTATTTAGACATTACTGATTAATGTTGATTCCCAAAAGAGGGTTGATGTCAGGCAGGCGGCCGGTCGTAAAAACAAATAGCCAAAACTATTCACAACATGTAAGGCAGACCCTGGCTTTAGCTGGGAAATTGCCAGGTAGAAGAAGATCTTCATGATTATAAACTGAAATTTTGTAAGTTCAGTTTCAATTGAAAACAATCGGGATTTATTAATGTTCAAATAAATACAATATAAAATTCTTGTTAACCTTAAAATAATATATTTCTTATATTACGTTATACATTAAATAACTATTAATAAAAAGACTTTTTTTCTTTATATGCATTTTATTTATTTCATCACTATTCTAAACCTAATTGAAATCAAAATATTTAATACTTAAATATTATATACATTGTTAATTTTAAGATTAAAAACAAGTTACTTTAAACACAAGTATAGGTAGCCTCAAATAAGAATTTGTATTCAAATTAATGTTTCATATCTTATATCTTTAAATGAGCAATTCTTGTATATATATATATTTATATAATTGGAATCTCGGAATCAGCTTCAACGATTTTCAGGGAATTTAGTAGGTAGGTATATTATAGAGGGTTCAGTAAAATGTCATTTTAAGAAAATAATAACAATAAAAGGAGGCGTTTAAAATATGACTGTTTCTGACATCTATTAGCGAATCATAATACTACTTCTTGCTTATTGCTTTTACTAATTGCTTTAACGACACAACAGCAGATGGCGTTGTTTAAAAAAACAAAATAAATGCTAATATTTCCTAAGTACCGAGCAAAGCTCGGTAACCAAATGTTTTTAATTATTAGGCAAACTAAAGCATTGATTATAATATATAGTTTTAATTTATGTTTATTTAAGATAGTATAGACATATCTCAAGCAATTCTAATATCCTAGTACACATAACAGATCTATTGAAGCTTAAAAACTATTTTTGCTGTTTTATCTACATAAAAATGTCTTTTATATTTACAAGCTAACAATATGATAACGATTAACAAACAAAGTTATAGAAAACAATAAATATATTTTTAAATATACAATTCAAAATGTGTGTGAGTAAAATTAAAGAAAAAAATATTCAAGTTCTCCATATTATAGCACTTAATTATATATCCAAGTGTAGAAACTAAAAGGCGGAATTAATATGTAATATGTACATAATATTTTACGTAAGACATGGAAATTAAATAGGCATCATTTGTTTAAATCCTACAAAAAGAGCATTATCAATATTTTAAATTATAATAATTAAGTACTGATCCGTCTTTTATAATCGATTTTATTTTTGATCGTATTTTAAATTGACATATACTTGTGCTGTCAAGTTGACGTTTTGACAATGACAGAAAGAAATACAATCATTATTCAGCCAACATTAAAAATATGTAAAATTAAATTAAATAATAAAATTATATATGAAATAGTTGTTAAACATATATATTATCTATTTACAAGTATGGACTTCGACGGTTTTAACGCAAGTGTTGCAATCAACGCGGCAGCACCAATGGAATTTACACTCGCACCTCTCTTTCAAGACGCTTCTATGTGTGTTGTATCCGCGGCCGCAGCACATTAGCGCACACCCCTCCAAGCCTGATGATGTCCTGGTACATTCACGACCGGTCGTTCCCAGAGATCCCTAGGGATAATAAATATCATATAAAAAACATATATATATATATATAATTCTTCTGTGAGTGTGTATGTCACTGAACTCCTCTCAAACGACCGGACCGATTTTGATGAAATTTTTGGTGTGTGTTCAAAGGAATCTGGGAATGGTTTAGATTCACAATTCTGTCCGCTGGACAATGTTTTTTTAATTAATTTTTAATTTATCAGTAGTTGTTGATACAAACGTTTTTTTTTGACATTAGATTTGACAACTAACTAATATGTCAATCATTCTGTCGCACTTCAGAACACGGAGGTTTATGGCTTTAATAAGTAAACTCCAAAATATAAATAAAAAACGTAACAGATATTTCTTGATTATAGGGCGATACGAAGTTCGCCGGGTCTTCTAGTATGATATAGTTTTTAACAATAATATTGATATTGCTAGCAACTTCAATTACATGTTTTTATTACAGAGGCCATGAATTCGAATCCCGATCGTGTGAATGAATTTTTGCATTATTTCTCTACTAGCTATTGATTTCGTCTTTGCCCGTACGTTAAACCCCCTGTAACGATTTGACTACTTAAGTACAATCTACTTTCCTTTAAAACTAATTTAAAATAAACGTATTATTGAAAGAGTCTAGCGTTATAAACATAATTATAGTGAAATTGATAACTTCTTACATTTAATGTCGGTAAAAATAACCTGAGTTACTTTTATGACTTTACCTACGTAGAGGTGAGTGTCTTAAAAATTATATGTATTACTATATAATGCTGTAAGAAACTTTGAAAAGCTGTTAGTTTTATATTATAAATAGAAATATAAATTTTATTTATTAGTAAAGCTTACTGAGATTTAAATTTTAATAACTCTACATAGTTCAGTATGCTTACCACAAGTTTTCATCGTCACTCTACATACGTATAGTCCCCCGTTTCTATTTCAATACTCCGTTAATACTATAATGTGTAGATTTATTAATGACAAACTGTTAACGATACGTGTGTAGTGACGATGTCCACTTGTAGTAAGCGCACGCGTTTTTAAACGATTCCTTCCAAATATTTTTTTCGTATAAATTACATTTTAATGAAAACTCGTTAAATAATGAAACACTTCGATTAAAATTCGTAAACCATACTTTCTTAAATAGGACTCAAAAAGAAATTTATTTTTTAGTAAGTCCAAAAAAATTAAGCTCTATTAAGTTGAATTACAAATAAATTCAAATATACTTGATGGAAACAGATAGTAAGTATATACTGAAAAAGTTTGTATAAATCTCCATTTTTCTAACAAAAAATCAGTATGAAATTATTATTTCATTGATTGTACCTACATTTTTATCTACTGTAATTCTAATAATTATTAATTAAATGGTGTTAAATAAAGAATATTATTATTACTATTCACCATAGTTTCGTTTCGTATACAATAGTTCGGAGATTCTTCTAAATAAACGAGGTCTTGAGCCGTCGGCATACTGTAGTGTGGATCGCTGAGACGCAGCTTCCCTCGTCTAGATACTCGTACTTCGGTAGCACCCTCATATTTATCCCTCAAGAAATCACCTACAACACATAAAACAAAATAACATATCAATAACATCAATTTTAAAATAAGTTTCTACTCAAAAAAGGTTATATTACATGTAAGAAGAATGTTTTAAATCACTATTTTTTTATCTGCATTTATTGCACAGATTAAATATATGTTCCGAGAACTATTTTAATATACAGCGTGTCGTAGTTGTATTTTAATAAATTATATTTAATTATAGCTTTGTGTCATTTGATGTTTAATAAATAATGTTACGCCTAAGTCGAATGTTTTGTTCTATGCCCGCCGGCGACTATTAGACGAAAGTAGGGCTGTCGATTTAGAAGTTTTATTAAAAATATAATATTGCGTCATTTCCTTTCTAACTGCCAAATGGGTGCTAAAAGGTTTTACTTAGTAATTGTTAATTAATACTTATGTCAATTAATGCTATCTTGTCAATGACTTATTTTGTATTTTTATGGATATATTTTTAATAAAATAGCCATGAATATATTTTTTTTAATTTTTTTTTGTATTTGAAATAAGATATAATATAGAACTATATAAGTCTAAAGATAAGCCCTAAGTTGATTTACACAGCCACCCATGTAAGATGTCTCACTAAACTGGTTTTCGTAATAATTTAATAGCCGTGATTATTGCTTCTTGGACTCTTTTAATTGCAGGTTGTGTTTTATTTAAATCACTGCGCCACTAAACGTCATTATAATAAATAACAGTAAGGAGTTTATTAAAAGGAGTTTTTACATAAGCTCCATCCATATAAAATATATTTTTAATATAACAACTAGTTTCTTCGATAACATGAAACTAATCTTAAAATAAAGGGAACATTTAAATTTTAATATAATAATATATGTATGTCAGTCAGATTAAGGCTTTAGATTATTGTTGGAGTCGTAAATAAGATATTTTATGGATAAAATCCCTTTAACTTCCTACTGTATTGATAACTTAGATAAGTTTAAGTGGGATGCCATGTCTTAAGTATTAAGTTATGTTAAGCCTTACATTTAGCAAAGATTATATTAATATAGAACCTACATACTAACAACACTTAACTTTTTTTATTAAAAAAATCGAAGTAAGTAAGGAAATAAATTAACCAGCTACCAGGAGAGCATAATACGCGAGGAGTATTAATGAAAGCCATCAAGTTCATAGTATCAGATCAAACACAGTGCACTATCATTTACAAAGTCACGGGTTCTTAATTCGAATGTCTGTCGCGAATGGAGCTTAATAGAGCGATTTATATAAACTTATAGACGGCATTTGTACTCCAGTGAACTCATGATCGCCTGGTAACTTATAGCAATTTATCTTTACCTCTTTTAAAGAGGAAATTTTTAAATTTATTTATTTATTTTTCTTTAATACTTCTTTATTATTTCGTTGCTTTTCTAGTTATAAAAATCACATAAAAAAGACACAGATTTTTCTTTCCTCATTTCGGGCTAATTATAAAATGTTACCTTATTTTTTACCTTTGACCTTTCATCTTTACCTATTTCCCTGAAGCTCGGCAGCTGCTGCCAGCAAGTGATGAGGCTGCAGGAACCGGAAACGCCGTGACACTTACACGTCACCCGGGACTTCTTTATAACAGCCTGGCAACATTTAATACAGTTTTAATCTGTGTAAATAATATCCAGTTTAGGTTAATTAAAACAAAATTTATAGCAACACCAACCCTAATATGTTCGTTTATTATTATTTTATAACAAATATTACGCAATAATTATTTATACATAAATAACGTGATCATTATGTATGTTTCTCATATAGGTATATGAATTTTTTTTTATATCAAATAACAACTAGTTCATTTAAAATCATTTTATATATATGACTAGTTTTTGCCCGCGACTTCGTCCGCGTTAGTTTGGTCAAGAGTAATATATGTAGGTATAGCTGACCAAACGAACTCTATTCCGTCCTAGAGGCCATAAATAATCAGGTTTTGGCTGTTTCAATCAAACAGAATGATTGACATATTAGTTAGTTGTCAAATCTAATGTCAAAAAAACGTTTGTATGGGAAATAGAAAAGGGCTGTTTTTAGGGTTTTCCCGGCAATTATTCTAATTTTTCTCACCTTTTAAACCTTCCCTGGACTTCTAGGAGTATTTAAAGACTAAAATTAGCCAAATCGGTTCAGCCGTTCTCGAGTTTTAGCAATCCATTTTTATATATATAGAAGATAGTTTTAATGCTAAAGGTAGTTTTAAATACATTGTAACAACATCTTTATAATAAATAAATTAGACATCTTTTACTACGACTTCTCAATGTATTATTATCGGTCATAAAACGAACAGATTATAAGAATACAAGTTTTTGCTCTCGACTTTGTTCGAATCAAGATCAGGATTAGAAATATATAAGAACCTTGTTCTGCCTTAGGCAGTAAATAACCATATTTTAGATTTTATTAAGTTATTTATTTTCTATCAAACGTCATACAAAGTATTGTATGTATGTCTCCTGGTTCTAAACTACCTCGTAATTACATCCAAATCGATACAGCCGTTCTTGAACTTGTTCTTCTAAATTAAATTCTTTTGTATTAATAAAACCATATAGATTTTTTTTAATGGTCCAATCCATTATACCAACATCAAAACAAACCAAACAATTTAATCATTAAATTAAATTTTACATCAACTTTTCATCTAGTTGAGAAATTATTTGAATTTTATCATTTCAGGACACCAATGAAAATTTATTTTTGTTTAACAAATTTCTAACAAAACATGTGATCGTTAAATACTAAAGAGTACAATCTCCATATTAAATTTAAAATGGAAAAAACTATTCATAAATAAATTAACATTATTATTATTGACTAGTATACTTACTATAGGTTGTATATTATTATAATAGTAAGGTAAGTTAGTAAATGAAAAACGGAAAACGCTAATTATATAGGATGATAACCGGACGTTCCAGGAAAACTACGAAACATATTTATATGTATATTATAATACGAATTATATGTTAAAACTTATAACCTATACCCAAGACTACATGATTGACCCGATGTTAGGATGACAATGACATTCTATTGCTTGTGTGGTATCAGGAATCTTCTGGTTCACACGGCTTGGTGTTCGTTCAGCGTCACGCGTTATATATTTTATATGTATATACAATGATGTCGCCCGGCGATGTTCATTTTTTTCTTCATATGTAGCGGATACGTGAAACACTTCGTATGTTGTACGACATCAACTTGTCCTAAGCATACTGATCATTCTACTAACAATAATGTTTTCAAGTTAAATATTAATTTTATATAATCTGTATCCTTAGTACAAATAAACTTCACTATACTATAAACTGACAGTTACGACGTTAATTATGTAAGTGAAGAAACATTTTCAAATGAAAATTGTTTCACTGTCGTGTTATTGCTTATTCTAGTAAATAAATATATTAAACTAGCTGTCCGCGTGGAGTTCGGTTATATCGCTTTTCCAAGAGAACCTTTCAAAAGTCTGGGATAAAAACTATCCTATGTTCTTTCTCAAGGTCTACTCGATCTCTGTACATAATTTAATTAAAATCAGCTCAGTGGTTTAAGCGTGAAAGCGTAACAGACAGACAGAGTTACTTTCGCATTTATACATAGTATTAGTAGGGATTAATCCAACGTTAAAAATTATTTTAAAGTATCATATACATATTTAGAATAACAGTTTGATTGAAAATGGTATGATTAATAATATCTTATATGTATATAAAGTTCGCGTGTCGCGGTGTTAGACAGAGAACTCCTCCAAAACGGCTGGACCGATTTTGATGAAATTTTATAAGCATATTGAGTAGGTCTGAGAATCGGCCAATAACTATTTTTCATACTCCTTAGTCATAAGGGTTATTCACCCTTAATTTGTATTTTTTTTTCGGACAAAAATTTTACTTTTTATCACCAACCCCTTTTTTTTATATGTCAAAATATCGTTTGCCGGGTCAGCTAGTATTAATATAAGAAAATGTTCTTTTGAAATATTGAGTACGTCTACAAAATCATTCTATTTTAAGACATTATATTTAATATGTATTTTAAACAAAAGTTGTATTTCTTAAATAACATTTGGTGAACACATTTTTACCCTTGATAAAGATTTTATTTCGGAGAAAGATATTTTAAAGTACTCAAACTACGAGCCATAAAAAAGTAAAATTCAAGTATTGTATAAACTGCATAAAAAACACTAAGTTTTACGTAATGTAAAAAGGACAACTGTAGAAATATGGTTTGAAGCAATCAGTTATCTCTGAACTCTAATTAAATAAAGAAAATCTTTCAATAATAATATATTCAATAATTATAAAGAACACACAGTCACATATCCATAATCCCAATATTTTCAATACAAAACTTATGTGATTATCGCCTTTAACTATACGAAATAAAGACTCGTTTCCTTTATATTATTTCAAAGATATGTTTATAATCAAATTTCTTTACAGACATCGAACCCGCGAACGATTTTTCAAGGTCATGCATCGTAACCACTGCGCTATAGGCTCCTAGTAGCAAATGTAAAATTATAATACACTAGCTTTCCGCCCGCAGTGTTACCCGCGTTTCGGTTATATCGCGATTCCAAGAGAACCCTTCAAAAGTCTGTGATAAAAACTATCCTATGTTTTTTCTCAAGGTCAACTCTATGTCTGTACGAAATTTCATTAAAATCAGTTCAGTGGTTTAGGCGTGCAAGCGTAACAAACAGACAGACAGAGTTACTTTCGCATTTATAATATTAGTAGGGATTAATACATTACCCGTCTGCCCGCCTCGTTGTTATGTCTGTTCATAAGCTGCCTGCCCTGCTCTCTACTGCCTCTCTTGACTTTTCGCTCTCTTTCCCTGATGTCGACGAAGTCTTCTGTGAATCTAGTAAAAAAAATCTATTAAAAAAACACTTTTGAAGTAAAACTTCTTTACTTGGGAGTAAGCTGGTGAATGCGTGACGAAAGCGTTACGAAAAGTGTGATCGGGCGAAGCGAACGAAAGTGACAGAAGATATAAGTTACGGTTCATATATTACTGTAGGAGCAAAAGAGAGAGCAAAAATATTAAGTTGAAATATAAATTCAAAATTAATGATACAATACATGTGTAATTATGATACTTTAATTGTTAGTAAGGGAAAATATATTTGATTCAAGTAACGCCATACTAATGAACAAACATCATTCCCAAACTAAATAAATATATGTGAGTCTTCAATAAATATAAAACTTAATGGAATTATTGCAAATTAGTTTTCTTTCCATTAGTCTTAAAGTTATAAGCGGCTCTAACTTTGCCAACTTCGATATTAGCTCCTGGTAGTGAAGAGTTACCACATGAGAGGGAGAACGTTTAGAAAGAGATGGAAATAACTTAGCTACGCCCACGGTTACTGAAGCTCTACGGGATATCGATTCGTAGCACTGAAAAATATTATATCAATGGAATTTAAACCTTAAATGCAATAAGCCTAAGGACAATTTTAGCTTGTAAGTAGTTTTCATATTTCATAAACTATTTTTTTTTAATCTAGGATTATTTTAATAATAATATCATTGATTAATTTAATAGTGTATATAAGTTTTATGATTGAAAGAATTTAGTTCGAAATTTAAATTTCCCTTCCTGAAAGTACCTTACAGGTCAGTTCAGTATGTAAGCTACGAAATTTTCCGGATTAAATACCACCACGCGTTTATGGGTCCCTGGTAGATGATAACGGATAAGCGTGTTTAACACGGTTTAACCGGGTTTATCCGGGTTTTGTTTGTTGTAGCGATTTATAAAGAAAATTCCACCTTTTTATGTTTGACTTGTAAGGTTTTATTTGTATGACAAATATTACTTCTATTGAAAATTTACTTAATTAGCTATCTTGGTAATTTAAATAGTATATATATAAAATCTTATCAGAGAATGCAATTAATGAAAGCTTAGAAATAAAATGTTTCCTGATAAGTTTTAAATTATTGCCAAGAAAACTTAATATGCTTTCTAATAATTTTAATAAAAATAATAAGAAAGATTTTAAACTCCAAGTTCCTCCGAATCCAAGCAAGACACATTCCACAAATTCTTTCAAACCTTCTCAGCATTTATGTTGTCCTGGTGCGAAAAATATTCGAATGCGGGAAATATCTTTTAAAGTAAGGGAAGGAAGGAACGTTTGTCTATTTTCTTCTTCTAAGCTACATTCCTGGCATATTTAAACTCCTATTGATCCTGTTATCCTGGTAAAGAAAATTCAAAGGACCGAAATATCGACTGAGCTTTTTTAATTTCCAACTAAAAAAGCTCTTTGGTACGCATGTGTGACTGAAAGCTCCGCCCCTATTTTGTATATAACGTAAACACACACACACACACACAAACTTTTCATACATTTCCTTAAAGGGGCTGGCTTTTCCCATAGTCCTTAGACTCCTCATATCTGTTGCTCTCCTGGTAGCGAAACCTCAAAAGTGTGACGTTTACGTGTGGATATTAACGACATATGTGTAAGTTTCGTCACTACTACTATAATAAGTACGTACGTACGTTAATTACGTACGTTTACTACTACATACAGTTTACTGAATTTTTAAATGTTGTGAAAATGTATGTAATTTATTGTATAATTAATTTATTGTAATTTATTTATTTGTTATTTGTTTTAACTTTTTAAATATATTTTTATTTATAAGCAACACAAACAAGCACGATATTTCTTTTTACACTTTTATTAGCAAACAAGAAACAGGAAAATCAATTCTATATTATGAATTCTAACTTTAATTACACTTACGGTAAAAATGGTGCGATTTTTTATATTATATATTTTATTTAAAAAATTCCACTGTAAACAAAATTTTTGTCTTCTTTTTATTTAAAATGGTGTTGTTCTAATAAAAACATATTTCAATCTATATCTATACTAATAATTTTATAAAGAGAAAAACTTTGTTTGTTTGGTTGTAATGAATAAGACTCAAAAACTGCTGAACCGTTTTAAAAATTCTTTAACCGTTCGAAAGCCAAATTATCTACAAGTAACATAGGATAGGTTTGATTTAAAAAAAAAAAAGGGTTCCGTAAGACAAAGTAAGTAAGGTTTTTCGGAAACAAGGTGAAAAAAGTTAACTTATTTTGCCTCCACGGCTTAAACTATAAAAAATAGAACCATAAAATGTTCTAATTAATTGAAAATCTTATAAATATCTAAGCTATAGGTTGCATTTATTAAAAAACCTTAAGATTTGTAAGAAAATTGTTACTTTGTAACTAACGTATAAAATTTAAAACCTATATATGTGTTTGGGGTAAAATCTATGGACAATACAACAAAACAATGTACTATAGGTTTCTAGGTAGAACTAGAAAATTGCCACGAGAGTATCTGAGCATCATAGTTTATTAAAATATTAAACAGTTTGAAGAAACAAACTAAGCTAAATGTGTATCGTAATATTAATCCTTATCAAAATTAAGCATTAGCTTATCAAGGGCATTTATTTTAAAGTAGAATACTTTTGGTTTCATCAAAATCGGATATTTCGTTTAGAAGTTATGAATATAAGACGCTTAGAATTGTTATCTCATAATAATTAATTATATTCCAAAAAGTTTTATCAACATAATAGACCTGATATTAAATTTTAGTTATTTAATTTTGAACAAAATTGTTATTGAAATCATCAAATAACTTAATTTTATTATTATTATTAAAAATGCTAAAGTAACTTTGTCTTTCTGTGACGTTTTAACACCTAAATAGTTGAATCGATTTTGATGATTTTGGTATAGGTGTATACCTATTATATATGGAAACTTGGCTTTGATATAGTGGCTGTTCAATAATTCTGATGTTCACGCGGACGGAGTCGCTTGAAAAAGCTAGTATATATTATGAATAGTTAATATCTTTATACAAATGTATTAACTTAAAATTTGTCATGTATCTTATTACTTTATTTATAATAACAAGCTTTTAATTACTTCCGTAATTTTTTATTAAAGGATGTACAACTTTACCAAAGTTATACTTTTTTTATTTGTACTATAGGACTTTCTGACCATTCAGAGAAAGAAAAGGATTTAAATTTGGACATCCGTGAATACAGACACACAAATACCATATACCGTCGTTACCTTACAGCATATACCGTCTTTTTTCACTTGGTATTATAAAATTGCCTTGAACCAATGAACCCTTTCCATACTAGGAAACGTCATAGGAGTCCAGATATTTATAGGAGGTAAAATTGCTATTACTCCCCTTTAGATAGCGCAATACAAAAATTGTGGCGACAAAAGAATTAACATTTACCAGCTGTATATTTAAACTCATGTTGAAATCATCACATTAAATAGGGAGCGGAAATAGTTTCTCATTAATAGAAGTTTACATATTATTGAATGACAAACGGGAAACGTAATAATCGTATGACGATGAAAACGTGTACTAAGCACACTATTACGAATATTTAAGAATAAGCTAAAGGTATTAATAGGCAAAACATCAGTTATCTTAAGATAATTAAATAAGAAACAAATATATTATGTATTACTATTATTAAGGTGCAAAGGAAATATTTGTGCCGTTTTTCCTGAACCGAACTGTCTCTTTGAATTCGTTGGTGACCTCTAGCTACGCTCTGCTGTCCTGGTACCCGACCTGTCTTAAACCATGCTTTGACAACCGTGAAGATATTCTGACAGCTGCAACTTATGTTGGCAGGTAAATTAATTATGTAGAAATTAAGTATTATTGCCGTAGCTTAAAAAAGTACCTTTATTATTTCTTGTTTGAAATATAAAGAATGTTATTATTTCAATATTTCCAGCTTGTTTTAAAAAAAACCTCTTTTAAGAAAAATTTTTCGTTAATTATTTGTTAATTAAATAAAATGAGTAAACAGAATTAAATTAGGCTTAATGATGAAATGACATGTGAAGGAAGAGTACAGGTGAAAAATTCACCTTCGCTACTTCGCTCCCAAATACTAGGAGATAAGGAAACAGAAAGATATGTTTCATACCTTCGCCAGGAGTATCAGGACGATTTATCAACCAGGTACGTTTACTTGTGTGCTTTGACGTGACAACATACAACACGGTAAGTATATATTATATCTCTTTCTAACATAAAGGGAAATCTGAAACGAACTGGAGGTACACATACGCATTAAATATATTCACGGAAGTGTGTCTAAGTGTGTGTGTACGTGACAGGTACATTTTACCTCTTACGGTTTATTGTTATCCTAGTACACAGGTACGAGGTAAGACAGGTGGATTCTACCTTTGAGGTAAATGATATAAAAAAATACAATTTGCAAAACACACAACACAGAAACAGATAGATTCCAAAGAAAAAAGTAAATTAACAAGACCATTTTCCACTAATGGAAACATTAACGTGAAAAACGCAAATTTTCCTACAACAAACTCGCAAGGCTACCAGGGCTGCAGAGACAGCAAGGAGTTTTATTCCAAGACTAAGAGCCGAAGTGAAACATAAAAATAACATAGTACCAGGAGCGCATAAAACTATAGTAGTTTTCCAACTAGTATTCTAGGAAATATATTAGTATTCTAGTTGTAACGAAGTTCTGGGTACAAGGATAACATGAATCGGTAGAGGTTTACAACGACTTCAAGTAGTAAGAACTATTTTTAAGGTAAACGGTACATATGTAGCGGCTAAAAATATATATAAATTGTATTTTAATACTGTTTACTTCAAACTTGTGATTCCCCTTTAAGTCAAAGGGCATGAGATAACTTTCACATGTATTTATTACGTTTATTAGAAATGACTAATATATATACGTTATTATGATGATGCATGTTTGGCACGTTTAATATTGTCTTAAATATAATGACAATGCTTCTTTATGTCTTCTTTATGACTATGTTTCTTTATGTCTTCATGCCTTATTTTAATATATTTTAAGTAACACTTTTTTTTAATTAACCTTTAGTGCGAGTTATCACTCTTTACCTATTTAGCGAGTCTTTGTTTTTGTCGTTAATCTTCTTTAAATTACGTTCATTCTCAATAATAACATAATTATACTATAACCACGAATTTGCATCTTACTAAATATTAAAAGTTATTAGATTTTCATTAATAAATCTACATTAATAGTTCCATTTACGAAGATTTTTTTTATGTAAAACTTCTAGTACATAATCGCGTCGATATTAATTACGTTACAGATAAAAGCGTAATACATAAACAAAATACTCATCAGATTGATTAGTATATAATACTTTAAAACTGAAATTATTCCAAAAAAATACGTAACTAAATAAATAGTTTCTCAATCATATATGTAATGCTACAATAAACCATTGAAAATCCAATCATATCACTATACAAATAAGTCATATTTTTGTATACCTGTATCCATATTCCAAATCATCTCCACAGCCTCCCCAAAGCCAATCTTTGTTGAGATGTTTAGGTCTATTAGCTCGACTGCAACCACACGAGCTAATTCTGCCATCACGACAAGCTCTAGAGAGAGACAGACTGACACCAGCTGCTGTAATAGCGTGAGTAAAAGCTGTTTCTCTGGATGCTAGAAAATAAATACATCTGGATTAATAAGTTCTGGATTTGACCTGGAAATAGACCTGGAAATTGTTTATATACACGACTCGGAATAATGAGATGTAAGTTTTCTTTTAAATCTTCTTCTTCTTCTACCTGGCAATTTCCCAGCTAAAGCCAGAGTCTGCCTTACATGTTGTGAATAGTTTTGGCTATTTATTTTTACGACCGGCCGCCTGCCTGACATCAACCCTCTTTGGTAATGCATTAATCAGTGATGTCTAAATAGTCTTAGAAAGTACATATGACTCGGAAAAATCACATTGGTACTTGCCCGGGCCAGGATCGAACCCGCGCCCTCGGCAACGAAAGGCGGGCCCTATTAGTAAGTATTCATTTAAATGAAACTAATTATTCGGATTACTATGCGTATTTTATTATTATTAAAAACTACATACTCCGGACGTTTCGGTTACTTTTCAGCAACTGTCATCATGGGCATACGAAAATCGGAATGCTAGAATTATCTTTTATGGTTAAATAAGTAATATATCTTAATTTATTTACAAATTGTATTGTATAGAATTTTCTATAAATTAATTCAATTATAACAATTAAATGTTTTTCTCAACATAAATATTTCTTTGCTAATAAATATTGTTTTTTTTATATAAAAATAGCTTCTTGAATTTCGTCAATGTATTACTATACGTAAAGACGTGAAGTTAGTGAGTAATATATTTTATAGTGCTAAGTACGAGTTACAAAACCGTCTATAAATCAGTTGCCGTCACCAAGATTTAAGGTTTTATATCAGCTGAAACTTCAAACTGTTCACAAGTCGTTTATAACTGTAAGTTTCAAAGTTAAATCTCGAAAGAATTCTTAAGTTTTTTTAGTTTTATTCGCTCGTATTGCAAAGGTATAGTTTACGTAGTATATAACGAATTTTATATACTATCTAATTGTTATATACTTTATGATTAAAATACAATTAACAACAATTTTCTTATGTGTAACTTAAAGTATCCTTAATCCAAGTTTACAACAAACTAAATACGCAGCGTTAATCGTTTATACATAAATCTTTACTTATAGTATTAATAAAGGTTTTTTATTGAATATGAAAGAAAAGAAACGCTTTTTGTGTAGTAAGAAGATGAAAACTTGTGCTAAGGATACGGAAAAACTACCAACAGTCTGTTTTTCGTTTGACGTATTAACTTATGGTAAGGGTTATCATTATTTTGATATACTTTGTACATGAAAATATCTTTCTTAGTCATACAACATTGAATAATCAATTCGTATTATTCAATTATATATATTGAGATCGAAAACAGAATTAGCTAATGGCATCTAAGAAAGAAATCGAATAAGATAAAGATATAAAAGATAAATAAAGAAAAGATATGATCTTTTTCTGTTTTTATGTCATTTTTATTGTGTGCGTAACATTTCTGGCTCAAGTTAGACAAATATATGTCCACATTACCGTGATGAGTGAATATAAAGTGGAATGGGTAATTGAATGGAATGGAAACATCGCTTATATTTTCTTAATACATCTCATTTAAGTGATTTCCGAATATTAGGTTCTGACTCGATATTATTTAAGACTTTCGCGAGTATTTATTTAAATGAAACTAATACTTTTCGGATGTAGTACGCGTGTATTAGGATATTGTTCTATAATTATACAATGTTTATTAAATATACTATTTGTATTTAAATATATATCTTGTCATTTACAGTTTAAATAATCGAATAGTTAGGATTTGACTTACAATAGTGTTGTGTCGTCAATTATTTGTCAAACGAATGTCTAATATACTATTATATTGGAGTCAGCTTTGTTTAAAAACTGTTAAAACTAAAAAAATATATATTTTATTGTATTTAGAATATTATCTGATTTATAATTAAGGAATTATTATTAAAAAGTAAGAATAATACTTAGGTACAAAAGCGATAACATGTCAAATATGTGTTTAATATACTGTTAAATTGGAACCCGCTTTCAAATTAAAATTTACTAAATTATTTTCTGTTATTTAAGAGTTATGTTTTAATATATATAAGATTTATATTTTCAATATATATTTTTTTAGTTTTAACAGTTTTTAAACAAAGCTGACTCCAATATAATAGTATATTAGACATTCGTTTGACATATAATTGACGACGCAACACTTTTTTAAGTCAAATCCTCACTATTCGATTATTTAAACTGTAAATGACAAGATATATATTTAAATACAAATAGTATATTTAATAAACATTATTATGTATAATTATAGAACAATATCCTGATACGTGCTTATTCAGACACTAGTTTTCATATGTACTACATAACAAAATAATTGAATTTATTATTGGATCTAATGTTTGCCATTTTTAGTAATTAAAATTCTGTAAGACAAACGTTGTATACATTTTATACATAGTTATAATAATATTTTCTTTGGTCAAGATTTTTACGGCCATAGAAGCTATACCTCTGTTACTTTCAAAAAAATACACTGAACTTACAATGTCAATCTTCTACCTAGCAATTTCCCAGCTATAGCCAAGGTCTGACTTACATGTTGTGAATAGTTTTGGCTAATTGTTTTTACGACCGGCCGCCTGCCTGACATCAACCCTCTTTGGGAATGCATTAATCAGTGATGTCTAAATACTCTTAGAAAGTACACATGACTCGGAAGTCGGAAAAATCACATTGGTACTTACCAGGGCTATAATTAATCAGTGATGTCTAAATACTCTTAGAAACTACATATGATTATATTACCTATCAAAGTCAGTGGACCGAAAACAGTTTCGTCTTTCGTGATGGAACAGTTCCACCTTCTATCCCGGAATTGATGTTGACATTCCTGGATCCCTTTCCTGACTCCAATCCCCACGGCTGGCATGTGGTCTTTATGTCGTCTGCAAATCCTACGCTGTCCCGGGGTCAGTCCAATTAACTTGGAACACATCCGGGATCTGTCTGACTGCTCCGTCTGGTTCGACCATTGATCAAACTCTAAAAGACCCATGTTGCTGCAACAAAAATTATACGTGTTAGTCTTGTTGCAAATTTTTCTTTAATTTAATTAGTTACAGTGTATTAGTTTTGTGAATTAATATAGATTCGTATATGTAATTACAGTAATACTCCGCTTTACGCGAGGGATACGTTCCGAAGAAAATCGCGTTAACTGAAATTCGGTATATCGAGGTTTATGATTAAACACAATCAAAATTTAACACACAAATATAAAAATCATTTTAATCAATCACTTTAATTCTAAGAACACTATACAATACATAGGTACTCCTATTTTTTACGAAAAAATACATGTATTGTCTTTTGGGAAGCGTTTTGTTTACGTTCTTGTAAAATAAGTTCATAACACCAAACACTGTTTTTAATCGTTTGACACACGTTCAAGACACGGTCATCATTATTGTCTATACTCTGCAATGTCCCAACCTGAATAAATTTTTGAAAATCGCGTTATAGTGAAACCGCGCAAAACGGGGTCGCGTTAAGCGGGGTATTGCTAATTGCTATATCTTCATTGGATACATTGTTGTTTAAATGTTGGGTCCAGTTGTCTAGACCAGCTCGCACTCTTCATGGGGAAGTTGTTCAATACCAATCATTAATTGTTTTAGAATTAAAGTTATGATGGCGTTTATAGCAAGACTTACTCTCTACAACTGATTTTAATTAAAAATAAATTACATAAAGATCAGGACTAGATGATAGCTAGACTTCAGATCTAATGATTTCCAGAACGTTCGTTTTACAAAACGTAAAATGTTATAAATCTTTTATTACGACCTTCTTTTGTATACTGGTTAAGTAATTGTTATCATTTTACTAGCCTATTCTATTGTAAATTATCACTTTAGAAACAACTAGTCCGTCTGTTATAAACAAAATTTTTATGTACAAGTTGAATGAAACGACCTTAGCGTTTCTATAGCGAATCGTTTTTTGGACATGCAAATACTACTTCACGCCGATCTCCTGTAGAGGGTGGTACTTACGGTCGAGTCAGCACATGTTCGAGCTGTAGTAACTTGACTACAGCTAGGCTCTACCACTTCAATATTTTATAAATTGTATTTGGTAATAAGTATGAAATTCGATATCAATATAACAGCCTGAATAATTTTAATTTTAAAAATTATTTCACAATATTCCGTCACGAAAATAAATTAAATTAAATCGGTATATAAAATGATAGGTTGCAAATTATATGGTAATATTTTATTTCAAATTATGTTGACTTTGTAAATTAATGTATTCTATACAAAGGAATGGCATTTTTGAAGAATGTTAAAGTAATTTAATTAATGCAGTATTCACGTAAAATATGGAAAAGTTCATATTGTTTTATTTTTTTATATTAATAATTATAATATATTTTTTGCTTGTGATCAAGTCTAAAGTTGTTTTAAATTTTTATGAACTTTTTAAAATCTTAATAGGGATACGATTATGAACATATATTTTTTTTTTATTTAAGTTTACAAAACTGACTTACACAACTAATGCATACAAAATAAAATCTAAGCTAAACAGAGTGTCATTAAGTTGCAGTCTTCTGGATGTAAACCTAGCATGCTTTAAAAACCTTGCTTAGTTAACAAGTAACTTGTGTAATTACTGACTAGTTAATTATATGATTATTACATAAAACAATGTGATTTTGTTTTAAGTTTATTTTTAAGAGAACCAACAGATTCACTGAAGACATCTAGGTGTTGACGACTACAATTCGCAAGCGAGCAAATACGGAAAATTGGCGAATGTTGACCAAGATTTGATTTGACACCAGGAAGGCTAAATACATATTTTACGATTTTGTAAACGGCTACCTTGACGCCGAATGTAGAAACTAATTTTAGCAAGTAGATCAGGTGCATCAATATATCCATGCAATAATTTGTATATTTTTTAGTTCATGTAGTGTCAATTTTATACATATAACAATATAATTACATAATATTTAATATAAAACTGAAAAATAAAAGAACATAAACTTCATTGAAAAGAAATTTTGAGCTAAGACACAAGATAAAACATATTATATTTTCAAAGTCTAAACATCAATATGACATGTACATATAACTAAATTTTGATTAAAATAAGAAAGAATATATTCTTAAAACCAAGAAAGTTGTACCTCGAATAAGGATTTCGGCTATTTGAGATCAAATAAACTTAAAGCTATTGAATCAATATTGAGATTTTCTATGGAAATTATCTAAATTCCAAAGACAGACATACATTGGTATTACTGAAAAAATTTCAGGAAAATTCAGGTACCGCGGAGTGATTACGCGTTAGCTTCTATTGTCAACAATCCAACGATTACTATAGTTTAAATACCATTTAAATCCTGGGATATTTCATTTACAACGAAAAAAGAATCATAAAATATATATGTAGTGTTACAAGTAGCGCCATCTGTGTGTTCTAATCCTTAGAATTATTTTTATGACTAATTATAATTAATTATATTACTGAACCATTGTAATTGGATAGCAATATATAAGTATCAACATTTATGTGAAAACTATAACTGGCTTTAGCCATTGTAGGATTACTGGAAGTAACGATGAACATTGAAAAACAAATCTGAAACTATGCAAGAGTTATATGTCATCGGCCTATCAGGCAAAGGCCTCTTTCTCACATGAAGAAGTTTTGAACATTAATCACCACGCTTGCTCAAGACAGGTTGGTGATTACAAACTAATAATTGTGAAACTATAAGTCCAGGTTTCCTCACGATATTTTTCCTTCACCGTATGTCAGTGATGTCTAAATACTCTCAGAAAGTACATATGACTCCGAAAAATCACATTGGTACTTGCCAGGTTTGAACCCGCGCCCTCGGCAACGAGAGGCGGGCCCCTTAACCACTAGGCCACCAGGGCTTGATACAATAGCTATACAAGAACACTCAAATTAATAGAAATGAGAAACCATTATTTTTTATATCAGTAAGAATCAATTACCCGTTCATGTTTCGTCTATATTTATTTAAACGATTAAATTCTTATAATACGAAAATTATGTTTTTAATTATAAACCTTATCGTTGTAACATATTAGTTAATTGTTTGATAAGCGTTCATAAATGGCTTGTGGCGGCCATTTTGTTTTTTTATTACGCATTTTTTTTTCTTTATAACATTTTCGTTTGTTGTGGTCTTGCTGAGATTTGTGTTTAATTTTAATAAGATTTTCTTATATCCAATTGTATATATCCTTTCACTCTTACACATAAAAGGTACTGAAGGGATTTTAATTTAAAAAAATAATATGATATAGCTGAATATATAGTCTATATTTTTTTCTTGGAAGACAGTCAAATCAAGGAAACTCTGGTCCAAACCCCTTATATATATGTAAACCTCGTATATATTATATACATATATCTTCTTCTACCTGGCAATTTCCCAGCTATAGCCAGGGTCTGCCTTACATGATGTGAATAGTGTTTGGCTTTTTGTTTTTACGACCGGCCGCCTGCCTGACATCAACCCGCTTTTTGGGAAACAATATTAATCAGTCATGTCTAAATACTCTTAGAAAGTACATATGATTCGGAAAAATCACATGGTACTTGCCCGGGCCAGGATCGAACCCGCGCCCTCGGCGACGAGAGGCGGGTTCTTAACCACTGAGCAACCACTGACTTGCACTATTATATACATATATATAGTACCAATTTTGTGGTTTACAAAGCATATTGGTAATATCATTATAATACCATTGAAATATTATAAATATTTTTTAAATTTAAAATAAGGATGAATGAAAATACTCTCATTGATTTTGTATTAACTTAATATTAATTAATTCAACTCTATATCTCCGCTTCTAATAAGATTACAATAATCCTCTGAATGATGAAAAGTATTTCTTTATCCGATAAATACTCTCAATTTTCTCTTGGAAGTAGTAAAATATAATTTTATTGATGAATAAAAACCTAATGAAACAATATTCACAATTTTTTAAAGAAAAAAAACAGAGTTTAATAGTATACAGGTCACTTTAGAAGTTTAAATGTTTTCATCTCTTAAAATTACATGCATCTATTGCATGTCGCATTACAGCCGGCAGTTGGTAGGAGTTCGTAATCAACGTATTAAAGACATTGGAATAAATAATTAATAATCAGAGGATATAATTTGATTATAATATTTAGAGCAAAATATTATTTGAGATTTAGTTATAAAGTATTCGTTATTCCAAAGAATTAAATTTTGAAGAGAAACTTTAAATCTCAAGAAAGTAAAACTACATTATGAAAATTAACTTAAAAATTACATTTAAAATCTGTGTTTGAAAAATATTAAATTTTCAGAAAAACTAAGAACAAAATGATGAGAGGGTAAATTTTTTATATATAACTTTAAGCATCGATATTTAAATTTATCATAAATTATAATTTTTGTATGACATATTTATAGTAAAAACTAGTTTTCTTCCCGCAGCTTCGCCCGCGTGGAGTTCGGTTATATCGCGTTTCCAAGAGAATTTTACAAAAGTTTTGGATAAAAACTATCCTATGTTCTTTCTCAAGGTCAACTCTGTCTCTGTACCAAATTTCATTAAAATCAGTCCAGTGGTGAGTCGTGAAAGCGTAACAGACAGACAGGCAGAGTTACTTTCGTATTTATAATATTAGTAGGGATTAAAAGAGTAATATTATATATAATATTGAATTCAATGCGTATTGAAATAGTACATATAATTTAAATTTTCCTGAATGATGTCACTAAATTCACACTCAAGGCACAACTCGATCGTATAATTGATATTCCCAACAAAAATACAGTAATGTTTCCTCAAAACTTTGACATACAAAATACTTGAAGCATTCAAGGTTTTTAAACTCAGTTTTATTTGTACTCACCGTTTTTAAATCCCTACTAATATTATAAATGCGAAAGTAACTCTGTCTGTCTGTCTGTTACGCTTTCACGCCTAAACCACTGAACCGATTTTAATTAATTTGGTACAGAGATGGAGTTGACCTTGAAAAAGAACATAAGATAGTTTTTATCCCAGACTTTTGAAAGGTTTTCTTGGAAACGCGATATAACCGAACTCCACGCGGGCAAAGCTGCGGGCGGAGAGGTAGTATACATATATACATCTTTATTAATCATTTGATATTCCTTTTTCCTCGTTTCCGTTTTAATATCTCATTTTATAAGCATGAATAACCAATGAATTAAAGATTACAAAAAAATTAATACGATATCTATTTAAAATAAAAAATCGATTAGTGTTTACCAAAACTATAGTAACGTTAAAAAAGTTAATACATACATTACTATAAAGAACCTAAAGTAAAATAAAATATAATAAAATGTAAAAAAAACACACACAAAGAATATATATTAATTAAGTTTTATTAAACATAATAGAAATAATTTTTATAATAAACACAATTTGAGATTTTATCAAATCTAAAATTTCCTAGCATACTGTCCATCATACAAAGGAGCGGAATAACCTTTGCTTTGGAATCTAAGATTAGGATTTTCAGTGAACACTTCAACTTCGAACTTATATCCTCTTAAAATCGACGGACTTTTCAGTTCAATAGTAACACTTTTCGCGCCGATTCCACCGGTTAAAATAACCGCTTCCCCATCCTTATTGTCTCTCAAATCGGTTACGTATACAGCACTAATAACTTCATTATTAGGCGCGTTAACAACAATATCTTCGCTTCGTCTCCATAAAGCCGGATCCGCTTGTTTAATTTCACCGTAAATCTTCTTAGAATTCGCCACAGTATAACCCAATTTTATATCATTGCAGTGAATAAGATTATGCGATATAATTGTTAAGAAAATTATTATTAAATACATTTTTAGAAGCGTTTTGGTAACAAATGTTTCAGCCAAGAAATTCTAGATGAATATGAGACTTATATATGGAGACTGTCGTCATATACTGACAAACAATGCGAGGTGTTATGTTTTGTATGTAGTTAGTAATTTTACGCGGAAATCTGATATAAGTGTATATTTTTTATTATGACTTTACGCATAACATAATATTTATTCTTTATTACATATAAATATATTTAAACACTATGTACAACACGCGGATTCTCTCGTAAATATTTGTTTAATATTGTTTACAATTTATAAATTTATGTATGTAAGAATTCTGTGATATACAAATCGACAAACTTTAACTTTTTATATTAGTATATACCAATAAACGAGAAAATGTACAACATAATTGCTTTTATACCCAATGTTTGAACTGACAGACATATATAAAAAATATATTTGTATGTCTGTTTATGCGTTACACCTTAACTAGTTCGTCCATTGATGCACAATTAACACCAATACGCTAATCACCTGAAGATTATTGTCATCATTTTCGGTTCTATCATCACGGTATACAGACGTGAACATGTTTCTAATAAAACTCCTATTAATTTCTGTACTCCTGGTACTTTCGGATACACACGACATATTCCTTGGATATCCTGATATGGCCTCCAAAGTCATATACAGCAAGGTCCATCAGGAGAATCCCGCTATATGGGTCAGATCGGATACATTCACAGTGAATTGTTCCAGTAGTGACGTCATCAACGCCGTGAAAGTCCTGGATTTGAGGGAAGACAAATCGGGAGAGGCGTACGTCAAAGGAGGGGGGATAGGACAGAATCACGTCACTATAGAACTGGACAGTCCTAGCATCTTCAGAGGTTATAATTTCCTGGTACAAGTTTACGCTATACATGCTAATAATTTTTTATTTCGTCATGGAAAATAAATAAATTTAATTTATTTTTGGATCAATTAATAAAATGTTTTTAATCATTGATTTTTGTTACAATTTCTAATTAATTAAATATAAGTAAAGAAAGAAAAGTGTTTGATTTGAAAACTACATATCCCTAAAGTAACTGTCTGTCTGTCTGTCTGTTACGCTTTCACGCCTAAACCACTGAACTGATTTTAATGAAATTTGGTACAGAGACAGAGTTGACCTTGAGAAAAAACATAGGATAGTATTTATCCCAGACTTTTGAAAGGTTCTCTTGGAAACGCGATATAACCGAACTCCACGCGGGCGAACCTGCGGGCGGAAAGCTAGTTATAATATTAATATATTTTATAAATAACAAAGTATTTTTTTGTTTATTTCTAAGTTTCTTTGTCTCATGTTCACCTTTGTTCTAATTGTTATAGGTCATAAAAAACAAAGTAGATTAGAAATTCCAAGTAAGACGATAAAGACTTAATAAAGTATGTTATTTATTACTAGTTATTCTATAAGTTATATTTATTTGACGCTGAAAAAAATAACTTATGTTTTGTTTAATTACTTCTATCATTAAAAAAATATTTAATCTTCAAACTCCGTATATTAAAGATGAAAAAAAACAATGTAATATTGCTAAATAGTTTTAAAATTAACAAAATTCCTCTTAATATTTTTGAAGACGTAAAAAATTCTCATTCTCATAAAAAAATATATATATCTACTATAATAATCCTATATTTTTCACATTTCAAAGGATAATAAGATTATACTGTAACATAATATATATATAACTACTATTTATGTATATAGCATAAAAAAATCACATAGACGAGAAACATATTTACTCGGCCTTGTTATAAATAAGGTGACGTATGTACATGGTATTGAGATGTTTAACATATGAATCAAGATATAACATATTATTTATATATATCCCTACTAATATTATAAATGCGAAAGTAGCTCTGTCTGTCTGTCTGTCTGTCTGTTACGCTTTCACGAATAAACCACTGAACTGATTTTAATGAAATTTAGTACAGACATAGAGTTGACCTTGAGAAAGAACATAGGATAGTTTTTATCCCAGACTTTTGAAAGGTTCTCTTGGAAACGCGATATAACCGAACTACACGCGGGCGAAGCTGCGGGCGGAAAGCTAGTATGTATATATTTGTGATAATTCTTAGAAGTAATTTATAGTATGTCAAAACAATAGATATAGCTTCATACAAAATATCATTTTTATGTCTCGAGAACTAGGATAATAACAGCTTATTTATTCTGTTATTATACCTACATTATTAAAAAGTTTTATCAAAATCCGTATAGCATTTCGCATGAATTATCACCAAATCAATATCTACGCGTCATTACAAGTATTCTTATACATATATGAAATTTATAATATTACTACACTAGATTGTTTTATCGTAAAATAAGTTTCTTCTATAAATCAAATACACGTCAAGATTTCAATTTAACGTTAAAAGTAAGTAACATTGAGATGAAAGATTTTTTAAAGATAGAAATTGGAAATAAAAAAACATATAATATATGTATATAGTTTAATTTTAACTTACAATCAAGCGTATATTTCTACCAGAAATCTGTAACCCGATCCTCTTTCGCTTTTCAATTTGATATTTACGAATGGAAATCCAATCCCGCCCCTATTTATCGATGGTTCAGCCAATCCATTGTCCAAATCCCTAATCGCTATCCCTTTAATCTTCTGGTCTCCAACGGGATACTCGAAGTAGACCTCTTCTTCTCTTTTAATGAACGGTATACCGGTAGCTTCGATGGTCTTTTCGTATATTTTCCTCGCATTATACTCGCCGACCTGGCCGACTATAACGCTTTTTGTGTACACAGCACTTATTGTTGCTGATATTAATAATATTTTAACGAACATGATGTCTGTTTTTGTCTGGACTGTGACTTGTTGTGAGTGAGGTCGTTTAAGTCGCTTTACGAGGAAGCAGACTCGGCTTACATGGCGCTAAAATCTCAATTAAATAATTATTGTTAAAAAAATGTCTCAGGCAATAATCATTCTTATAATTTTCTTCTTTGGGTTCAAAATACTTTGATTTGTATTACGTCTGAATTTTTCTAATATTAATTAATTTTGTCTCAAATTTGACCTTGTTAAAATTCATAACCAAATTAAGAAGACCCCTATACGTGAATAAAGTTTACGAGCATATGTTCCAATTAAAAAAGTTGATATAGATATATATTACGTACATATATAACATCATATAAACCATTCATATAAAATTAATTCACATTAACTAGTATCTCTGTATCGCGGGCAGAGGTCACTATCTGACTCAGTGTTACATACAATAAAAAATAAACTCTAATACACATAAATAGAGTTGAAAATCGTCTGATATGAAAACAGTCAATTTATTTAATGCCCCAAATGTATGATTAAAATCAGACAAACAATGAATCGTTGCGGTAAAGATTCGATTTTATTTATTTATATAATATTATACATCCCTACTAATATTATAAATGCGAAAGTAACTCTGTATGTCTGTTACGCTTTCAAACCTAAACCACTGAACTGATTTTAATGAAATTTGGTACAGAGATGAAGTTGACCTTGAGAAAGAACATAGGATAGTTTTTACCCAGACTTTTGAAAGGTTCTCTTGGAAACCCGATATAACCGAATTCCACGCGGGCGAAGCTGCGGGCGGAAAGCTAGTAGGTAATACATATAATAATAATTAAATTATACGATTTGTATGGCAATGGCTCAGTTAGACCTGAGATCTAATAATCCGTGTATATAGAAATTAAGATGAAGTATTGAGATTGATTGAGAAATAATAAGAAGCTATCATAGAGTTTTTTTCCCATCCTTTCCTGCCATTTCCTTATTCCCACCCTTTCCTTTTCCTCAACAATTAAAGTTGGCAACGCAATCACAACATCTATGTTGCAAATGTCCATGAGTGTCGGTCACTACTGACCATCAAGTAGACGTTTGCCATTTCTCATATGAATAAAAATATACAATATATGTTGTCTATATGTAAGGAAATCTCAAAAATAAAGACTTAAATTTATATATATGTATATAGATAATTTGCCGAACATTATTTATCGATTATATCACAATAATATCTAATATACGATCAGTATTATGACAATCATATGGTATCAAATATTTTTACTGATTGATTTCTACCATGTATGTATGTGTGTGTGTGTGTGTATATATGTGTGGGTAATATTATGATAATATCTTATCAGATGTTATCAATAATCAATAATATATTTATAGATTTCAAATAACAGTACGATTCAAAATGGCCGCCTATATTTACGTTTTCATACTAGTGTTTTACAGTGTCAATACAGAAAGTTTACACGAAGGAGTACGGTGTATTGGTGATAGATTAATACATGAGAGTGAACACGTAAAAATACCTTATTTTATAAGAACATCTGACGTGGCATTCCCTAAATATAATGAAGATGACGCGAATATTATAACAGCAATTGATGTCATTGATAATTATAATGACGCGGACGGTGGAACTGCTGAAATAGATTACGGCGGTATAGGAATGACATACGTGAATATACATTTAAGAAGTGCTTTATTCCGTGGTTTTAATTATACTATAAGGATTTATGGCATTAAAATGAACTGATATTGTGACGTTTCTTCAAGATTATTTTATGTAAAACGCCTGCCAAAATGTAATAGCAATGCGCGTAAAAAATGTTTTAGCTATCAAAAATTTGTAAGAAATAAATTGGTTGTATAAATATTATATTTCTAATACTGTAATACGAATTTTATATTATATGTATACGTATTTTGTATAAAGTGTTTATAAAAATAAAAAACTAAGTTTTTATATGTTTCCATTTTTGCTTTTTGACTCTCTTTTTTAATTAAAAAATTATAAGTTTAATGATATTACATATTATATTCTTAGAACTAAATTTATAATTGGCATCAAAATGACTTTCATTTGACGCACGAAGCTTATTTTCTAAGGAAATACGATTCCTTAGAGGTTTTAATGAACCTAGATAAATTTAATGAAATACTAATTTGGCGTCTAAATATATTTATTACTAAAGTTAAGGTAATTTTAAGGATGATAAAGATATCTTTTTATGGATATTTTAGTATTTTTGAGTTAATTAATAAAACTACATAATAGTTATGATTCAAAAACAATCTGTTATTGATTCATTTATCATTACATGTACAATTAGATGTTATCTATTTAACCGACTTAAAAAAGGAGGATTCTCGATTTGAATGTATGTTTTAAGTGTTCCAACATAACTCTGATACTAAAAAACGTTTAATTAATATGTATATTATTGCATTAAAAATAGATGAAGTTGTATGGAACAAAGTCATGGAGAATATATACTATATAAAATATTTACTTATGCTATAAAATTATTTTGATCTTTAATCTTAAAACTTTTAAATTTATCTATTTATAATAATTTTCAATACCTTCTAATCATATACATATAAACGAAAGTAAACCTATGGTTATCAATCCAGTTACGTTACGCGGATTTGCTTGATACGAGGATAATTTTGTTATTCAATATGTTAGAGTAAGTAGTTCATCACTTAATATTTTGTTTTTATATATATATATATATATATATATATATATATATATATATATATATATATATATATATATCCATACATCCTCTGTTTTGTTATATAACGTTGTAAATAGTATCATCCTATCTATGCATACGCTTTGTCGGCTAGAGTAAAGGTATAAATCTATTGATAATATAAGTTTAACATGACGAATAACGTCAAAGTTTTCAATCAAAAACAGAAATATTCTAAATAATAAAAAAGTTATACGAATCTAAAAAGGTTTTATTAAAACCAAGAAATTCTTAAAATAATCATTAATTAATTATTATATATGTAATTCTTTGGTTAGCAATATATACATATATATTAAGTTGATTACTCTTTTATATGTATTATAAATTCAGTATTCGGAGCACGCGACCAATAAAAGCATTAAACTTGTAGGTTACAGGTTCTTTTACAACACCTGAGCCGTCTAGACTACACTATATATATATATAGTTGAAACACGAATGTTATATAACATATATGTATTGAAACAAAAAAATTTATATACTTATATATGTATATATAGTTTGAAGCGACTCTATTTGTGTTATACGTACGAGTAATTTTTAAAATTATATGATTGTCTTTTGTTAAATGTACGGCGATAAGTTATAGGATACTGTTGGAAGATTTAAATTCAAGATATGATTAACACCCTCAGTGGTGAACCAAAACCTTTAATGAGGAATAAGGATGTTATCAATTTTTTTTGGTGAAAAAGATTAATTGTGGTCAGTTACTACAGCTCGAACATGTGCTGTCTCGACCGTAAGTACCACCCTCTCACAGAAGATCGGCGTGGAGTAGTCTTTAATGGATGCGTGTCGTCCGATGAGTGAGACAGACGGTTGCTCTTTATATTTAAAAAATAACAAACTTATCTATGGTCTTGGTCTATGTGAATGTATGAATAAATTAGTCTTTTTGACATAGCCAATCAACGACTTTAGAAGATCTTTTATAATGGAATGGTAGTGATGGAAATGAGGAAGAAATTGCACAACAAATACAATAATATTTTAGTAGACCACCAGTAGCAGAAGCAATAGAAAATGCAGCTATATCTCTAGTCAAGGAGCTTAAGTTAAGAAGAATTTAGTCTTCGAAGATTTGAGTCAATAAACATTGAATAAGGTATATACAAAGCTAATACTAAAGACTTTAAAAGGTAAGAGCCATACCGCAGAATTGATCCAACTTGTCCTACATAAAACTTGAAGATACCAGAAAAATATTAATATAATTCGTTTAGAAAAACCAGGACTTCCAAAGATAATTATGAACCTTATCTACCACCAAAAGACACTTTATTTGAAAAATCGACAAACAAGATTCTGCAAGGAATATGAGTTATGACAAATCTCATCTTTTTTTGTATTGAACTGACAATCCCATTTTATAATATTTGGGTTAAATTGGACTTAATTAACAATCCTAAAATAAAGGCCAATAATTAATATAAGAATGGAAATAAATAATATTAACATTGTAAGTGATACCAGGAAATTTTACATAAATTACGAGTAGGTATTATCAACATGAATAAAAAACGAATCTTTTGACAATGACATTGACGTTTATGTCAAAATACAGATAAAACATAATCTTTTTGACAGTGACATTGACGTTTATGTCAAAATATAGATAAAACATAATCTTTTTGACAGTGACATTGACGTTTATGTCAAAATACAGATAAAACATAATCTTTTTGACAGTGACATTGACGTTTATGTCAAAATACAGATAAAACATAAGCTTTTTGACAGTGACATTGACGTTTATAATACAGATAATAAATATTTATAGAATACTCACAACCAGCTACCATTGGTCCATGTGTCTCTCTTCCTAGCGTCGCCACACACAATCATCATTAAAAACATCAGTCCGATATATAACCTCATTTTATATCACATTTTGGAACACTTCACAACAACTACCACAACTTAAATTACTACAAATATCAAGGAATATAATATATATATACTAGCTTTCCACATACAGCTTCGTCCGCGTGAGGTTCGGTTATATCGCGTTTCCAAGAGAACCTTTCAAAAGTCTGTAATAAAAACTATTCTATGTTCTTTCTCAAGGTCAAGTCTATCTCTGTACCAAATTTCATTAAAATCAGTTCAGTGGTTTAGGCGTGAAAGCGTAACAGACAGACAGACAGAGTTACTTTCGCATTTATAATATTAGTAGGGATAAAGAGATAAAAACTGTTTGATATTAATTGTCATGATATATCC